ATATAAATATAGAAATTAATTATTATATTGCAAGTACCCTGGTGCTAAGGTTGCCCTGATACTATTTATCCCACCCCTATGTAGAAAGGAATCTCAGGAGTAAATTTGGTACCTGCTTTTATGGCCAGGGCACGGGCTTCCACTTTATCCCCCATCTTGCACACAACCTCTGGGGAAGGACCAATGAATCTTACCCCGGCATCAACACAGGCTTGGGCAAAGTCTGCGCGCTCTGATAAAAAGCCATAACCAGGGTGGATTGCATCCACATTATTTTCCTGAGAGGGAGAAAAGCACAGGCAGAGAAATACAGAAGGGACGAGAGATAGAAAGACAGAGAGAGAGAAAAAAGAGCAGAATGAAAAAAAAACATTAGTCAGGGATGTGTATGTGGCACAGCAGTCAGGCCTAATTATTCTGATGCTGGAAAATACTAATTTCATTAAAATCCCAATCAGAGAGAATTTGAAAGGCCTCTCTCTCTCCGTTGGCTGACTGCGTGCAACATGGTAATTGCATTGGAGAAAGACTAATTATTCTGAGGCCGTCTGCTGAGGTTAGAGACGATGATGTTGGCTGCTTGTTCGGTTTTAATATGGTGTGGTGTTGCGTGTGTGTTATGCTTTGTGTTTATACATTATTAGTGCATTGTTGTGGTGGCTAAGCTGCTGGTTTGAGAGATGAGCTGCCTGTAGCATAATGAGAGATTTCGCCAAAGGATCTGAATCTGGCTGGCATCTCTGACACTGTTCCAAAAAAACAGGAATGGATCTATTTGAGCACCATATAGTGAAGTGCTGATGTGAATACTAAGCACTGGAAGAGATGCGTTTAGTGCACAATGCAGACAGGCCGTCATTCAGAGAGTGACAGGTAAGGTGAATCACAGTCTGACGGATAGATATATAACTGCCTAACCTTAGCCACTTTGATTATGTCAGGGATATGGAGATAGGCTGCAACAGGGGACAGGCCTCTGCCAATGAGGTAAGCCTCATCTGCCTTCTGTCTGTGCATCTGCCCCGTGTCCTCCTCTGAATATACAGCCACTGTACGGATCCCAAGCTCTGTGCATGCCCGAAACACCCGGATGGCTATTTCACCTGATGGGAGAAAGAGAAACAATTTTAAAACAAGAAAAAATGTAAGTCAAATTTGTGAAATGTTTACTGTGGTTAGTGGATGGTAGTGGTAGTTCACCCCGAAATGAGCCCACATCTGTCAGTTCCTCTTAGGACAGAACAATGACAACAAAAAGCACCATAAAAATTAAAGGGGGAAAAAATTATAAAAAGGAGATTTGGGGTAGCCTACATGGCATCAAAAAGTTTGAAAAAACCTGCATCTTATGAGGTCATAAGCATGAAGATTTGAAATGACAAGTTGGGTGAATAAATAACAACACAAGAATCAGATGTGTAAATAACAAGAGGGTGGGTAAATAACCCAGTCAACACGTGAGATCATGCGATGATCCCAGTGACATCACACGATCCTCATACTCTGATCCTCACAGTGTGAGTAATAGGTGAAATCATTGTGAGTACACACAATCCTCATACTGTGATCCTCACGGTGTGAGTAGTATATGAAATCATTGTGAGTTCAAGTAAACTTTGGTCCACACTCCAACACTGAAGGTGGCGATAATGCACCTTAACGCTGGTGCTACCCACCATAAAACAGAAGAAGAAGAATCAAACATCACTATTCAAGAATCAGCTATGGGAAATAGGTTTAGTAGAGTTTAATGTTAAAAATATAGTAACATATGGAAATAGTGACCAAGGACGAAGATATTTATTTAATTTTCTAAGGAGGACTGGACTGGAAGGACAAATTTAATTAAGATATAGTAAGTTAAAGTGAGACAGCAGATGGCAGTAATGCAACACTATGGATGCCAACTGCCGTAAAACTCCAACGAAGAAGAAGACAAACATCACTATTGTGATGTACATTTGTGTTAGAGACTGTTGACTGTGGATTTGTTACACTGGAGAAATGGTGAGTGATTTCTTTAATTGCTATTCACATATGCTAATATGATATTATAATACCAATATGCACTGTAGCCTGGCCTCATGTTAGCAAATTAGTCAGGTACATGTGTTAGCCAGGTACATGTGAACCAGCCATCTTGCCAGCCGAAATTAGTTAAGTTAATTAGCTAAGCCAGGAACACACTACACAACTGTAAGGCTGGTTATGAA